CTTATAGCAAGCTGTGGCCTTGCGCTCAATGGTGGGCCTTGCGATTTCCTGTATGGATTTTCATATGACATCTACTTTTTATCCTGAACATTAACGAAGTCGCTTGATATCACCATTCGCTTACAGACGAGGAGTTTCTGACACGCACTCGAGCTCCTACTCAGTAAGGGTTGTGCGAAAATCTTGCTTTCAGAGAGACTTTCGTGTAGAACGCCATGGATAAGACCTGTGGAGTTGAGATCGTCTTCTCAAGTTCTCGACACTTTGAGGAGGACGGCTCTGGCGGGAGGTCAGAACAGTCGCTTTCTCTAGGAAGAGACTTGCTTCAAAACTAATCTCCTCTCAGAGGAAGCGATTGTACCATTTATGGTAGTTGGCAAGAGAGGGTCACTGCCGCCAATCAGCCACCATATCTCATTGCAAGCCTGAGTGTCAAAGCGATCAGTTCCGTAATGGTGAAGAGAAGGCTCCGGTAGTCTTATAGATGGCACGTAGTTCGGCATCGCACGCCTACTTGTTTCAAACGAACACGTCGATTGCCGATCAGCTATAGTATTGATCTGTCAACAACGCCCTTTTCTGCTTTTACAGTTGAGAGGCAAAGTTGTCTCAAAACTTCCCAGTCACCCTAACTTCTTTGTAATCCGTTGAAACTTCGTTGCAGTATGAAATAAGGATAGAGAATAAATTATCCTTAGTCAATCCACTTTTTAGGATCAGTCTTCGCAATCGACTCCCATTCGGAATCATAGTGGCGTTTTGGATTACATTTCACTATTGAAAGATCGGCCAAAATGAAACTGAAGTTGCTATCATGATGGACACCTTTCACCTTGCCATAGGTGGTAAAGCTAAGTTCACGACTGATATTGATATTACTTATAGACCAGTATATTCGATTCAACCCGTTCCTGTTCCGTATTAAGTAAGGGTAATCAATGAAGCGCTTCTTCAGAAACCTAGAAATTGTATGTAATCAGTGAGCCAATGGTTTAACACTAATATCATGAGCAGAAGCCAGTGTTTTTGTTCTCTGATCGAGGCCGGTGCTACTCAACCAACCCCGTAGAGACGGAATGCTTGGTTGGCCTGTGCGGATGTAGAATCGAAACTCAATCTCTGGATCACATGCGTCATAGCACATCATTTGCGTCTACACCACCCCAACTCCAACATTTATCAATGAGAGGAAGTAAGGTGGAAATCTTCTCGTGAAAGGTGCGAAAATCGAAGTATTGTAGATTAATGAAAAAATGCTGTTATGTGGAACAAATGCATATCTTGTAATGAAGCACGATTTTTCACATTTTGTCTCACCATTTTGAATGTTCACCTGTAGTAATAATAGTAATGAAGTTTTTGATTCATACATAAATTAATACCAGCTCAACTGAGTTTGGAAGAGAGTTTCACAGCCAATCAGTTAAGGGAGGTAATCTCTGAGAAGATGACGAGAGAGTAAAGACCGAAGGAACCTTATCTAGTGCTGAGGTCCATTTTCTAGGATGAACAGGAGCGTGCCACGTCTTACAAGGATGGGACTGCACCGCAGTTGCCACTTAGAAACCAGTCACTGCAAGCCTTGATGAACCTCACAGTACGGTTCTTTGATCCTCTAGCACTTTGCTAGACACCTGGGAATGTTCCCTTTTTAGCAGTCTTTTTTGCGATTTGCTTTTCCCACTGCAGCTAAGTATAATGAAGAAAAAGCCTATGAGGGAGGAGGTGAAGAGAGAAAAAACACTGCGTACTGGCGGGTGGTGATATGTCGGAACTACAAAGGTCCCTGGTTTTAGGGCAGTCCAATAGCGAAATCATGAGACCGAAATTCCATCACAAAAACTCACCTCTTTCGTTACGTACTACGCACTAATTGATCGAGAACGTAACTTCTTCTAGGTATGGAGAAAAAGCATTCCTTACTTAATAGTTTGCATACTTTTCAGCTGCTCTCTCACTTGATGGATAGTTGGACGTTCCGAAGGCCGTTCTGTCCAGCAATCACGGATCAAATGTAACTGAAAATCGTTTTCTAGGTGAAAGAATGCGATCATTTCGAACAAGAAAACAAAGTATGAGTATGATATAAAAGTTCAACATGACCAGTAAGTTCTTAACTTACTAGAGCTGGGCTCACTTCTACTGTTTCATGTGGCTCCAAGCCGGGACGTGGGGCATTATGACCTCCTTTCTTCAAAAGGTAGATGATCTCTGGAATAATATCTGATTTTCCTTAATTACGTTAGTCAAGGCGTTAACCACAGCTCTCAGCTTCAGCGACACCTTCTCGCACAATGGAGGTAGTGAATATTGTGACGAAAAATAATATTAAGGCGCAATAGAAGAGTATTGAGATCTCTCCAGTTACGCCTTGGTTTGAACAGTCAGCAGTCGTTGGTTGGCCAGAATCCACGGAGAGGTAATTTCACTACTACCTCACTGTCATTTTTATGATGTTGAAGAAAAGTGGGATTGTCAGTCATTTAGTTGAGTAGGGACGTCAAAAAATTTTCACTAAAGTTCATATTCCGCATCTATCACGATGCTGCCGCTTACCCTCAGGATCCTCTTTTCTGTTCTCCAGATTCCAGACTTTTGTTTTTGTGACGAGTTGTGAACAGATGATACCAAAGCTGAATGATTCCTTTTGAGTAAACACATTTGTTTAGAAATTTATAATCGTTCCTTTTTTCTTAAAGCAACTTTCAGAAAAGGTAGTTTGGGGCACCTGTATATGTCGCCTTCTTGAGATCCTTCAATGCTGCCATTGCGTAGATGTTCCGGAGCGCTCCATAGCAAATCTGTAACAAAATATAGATGTAGGATCATGATGGGAAGTAAGCGATGTCAGTGTCTTCTTTGTCTTTCCGAAAACTTCTGTCAGTCAATGACGATGACTAGGGCAATTAGTTTGGGTCGACGTAAAGGCGCTCTCCGCAACTACGGTTGATGCATGGATGCTGGTATTTCGTCATCGTGACGTGTGTATGATTCTCTTTTATACACTAGCTATCACTCGCCCACTCTGCATTTGAAGGTAAAGGAATGCAGGCGGAAATGCAATGGAAGCCCATAGCAAGATAGTGGAAACATATGGCGAGGAGGTCATCTGTAACCGCATATGCAAGACTTGGCTCACCAAATTCAAAAGAGGAGCTTTTCTCTCGAAAATGCTCCGAAGAGTGCATGGAGTCGGCCGATGCAGTTGGATTTGGAGGTAATATGGAGGAGGAGAAGGACCCGTACCACCCGTACCTTACCACCAGAGAAATGGCGACGATGCTTGCCTCTAATCTATCGACGATTGTACGTGGACTGGAATAGCTCGACAAGGCAGCAAAGCTTGGTCGATGGATCCGGCATGAACTGTNTTGACGCTTCTACATCAGTTACCCAGCTGTTGAAATTGAAAGATCAGGTCGACGGTACTAGTGGACCGGATGCGGAACTCTACTTCCACCATGTTAACGCCGACCTTACACCGCAAAGGTGACTCAGGCCGAGCTGGAATAGTACGGATGGTTTATTGTCGCCCAGCCTCCCCCGATTCCCCCAAGTCCCAGCCCGGGTCCCTTTAGGTGCAAGGAATCGACAAGCTGCCTNGCTCGACAAGGCAGCAAAGCTTGGTCGATGGATCCGGCATGAACTGTTCGCTTACGACCTCTCGAAGAGGTTGGCCACCGGCACTTCTCTCCTCACTTTCCAGAAGAAGCTCCACTTCCTCAACTCGTTAATCACTGGAGATGAGAAATGGGTCCTCTACGATAACTTTGGGAGGAAGTGACACATGGTCGACAAAGGAGAACAGCCAGGAGCCACCCTAAAGGCCGACCTTCGGTGCGAAAAGGTTCTCCTCTCCTGTTAGTGGTGCAAGACGCAATGATCTTTGGGAGCTGCTGAAGAAGGGACATACGATTGACGCTTCTACATCAGTTACCCAGCTGTTGAAATTGAAAGATCAGGTCGACGGTACTAGTGGACCGGATGCGGAACTCTACTTCCACCATGTTAACGCCGACCTTACACCGCAAAGGTGACTCACGCCGAGCTGGAACAGTACGGCTGGTTTATTGTCGCCCAGCCTCCCCGATTCCCCCAAGTCCCAGCCCGGGTCCCTTTAGGTGCAAGGAATCGACAAGCTGCCTGAGCGTTTACGTCAATAGTGTATGGTGATGGTGCATACCTCTGGTCTTCAAGCTATTGGCAGAAAAGTCGGGAAGAAAACTTATGCATCAACCTGATAGAACATTGGCGAGAACATAATTCCTGCGCTTCTTCTGATATAAATCGGTACCACTTACTTATGCATTTGGAGCATGGTGCGTGTAAAGCACAAGTACGGGTCGAGTTCCGTCTGCGGCTGAAATTTTCCCCCATACCACCCGCATCTTTTAGAATTTTCTCACCGTTTACTGCAGCAAAGCGATAGTTCTCGTATGACCGGTCACTGGCGTAAAGACAATAAACAGTAATCGGGATTCGATCCCATGGAAATTGCAATTGCACTGGTTGTTTGGTCACTACCTCATCCTCTTTATACTGCCGTCAATTTACGAACATCAAGTATTCTTACAGTACTGATTGTGAGTTACTACATAGTTCACATTCGCGGTTTTCCAAATCAAATTTTTCTTCTGAAACGTGGAGTTGTGCGCTCCACGGGTGCCACTGGAAGCTGCTCGGCATGCTCAGCTGGGCCTGCAGGTGAAGTGCCTTCGTGAAATAGTCGCCCGACGAACTCCCCTGTCACATCTATACGATTAATCACGTGAACAATACTGGTACTAATCCGTGTTCAACCGATGGTTTGCAACGGCTCAATCCGCTTGTGACAGAATGTTCCGTCGTGTCTCGATATAACTTTTGCTGAAGTCCTCCAATCAAGTTGGAAGCGAGATTAGCTGAAAGCTCTGCTCGAGAGGAACTCAAGGATATATCGAATTTCCTATTTTCTTGAATTTTTTGCTTCCATTTCCAGGAGAAATGAAAATTAGTCTCTTAGCAGCTAGAGTGTTACTTGCACATATAATAGATTCGCAAACCCAGTCTAGAATCTTTTGATATTCCTTTCATAGCTACAATGTTTTTTTAGCGACGGAGCTTCGATTTTCGGTCTGGTGAAAATGACCTTTCTGTGTTGGTTTGTCGCCAAGTCGCCATCTGTCCAAGCCGTAGTCTGATACCTTCACTACCCAGCGTTCATCAACCAAACAGTTTCTTGAAGTCAGAAATCCGTGACACCGAATGGGTGATCGATGCAGGAAACCAAGCGCCTGAATAGAATCAGTTAAGTAGTTGTCACTTATCACGTTTTTAACTATCATTAACTTTAACATTTAACTAAAGAAGAGTACTCAAGGAGAGTTGCATAGCATTTGAGCAGCAATTCAAACTATGTGAAAGCTATCATTTGCATGGATGAATAAAAAGTGTCAGCTTTGTTTACAGTCCATAGGCGAGGTCAAACTATACGACTAACTGACCAAGACACCTTCAAACGTCAGACTCAAACTTGTGAAAAAGTCTCTACAAGAATGAATTTATCTAAAGAAACAACACATGGTTACTGGTGTGGCTGGAAAGAACGTGAGCTCTAGATCGATTTTTTCAGTGACTCAGGTGATGTTGAGGTGCACATTTCCAAAAAGGCTGGAAAATATCTGGGTGTTGGCAAGGTGCGATGGTATAGGTATATTGAAACAATCGTGTCACGATGGTGTTAAGGAACCATGCGATACTCTCAGTGGAGCCTCCACGCACGTGATAAACGTGACCCATTACTAAGGAGTTATCGAGGCCAAATCGACCGTGGGTTGGAATTTGTAGGCTTTGATGAGTAGATAAAGTACGGGACACCTTGGGAGCTTCAGTTCAACTTTGTTAGAGTCCAGATCTTCTCACTTCGCCACCGTCACCCGTTATCGATTTAGGGCTCGGAATTGTTAGATTCAATCCTTCTCTGACGACGGCTGATAGAGCAAGTGACCCTCAAGGTGCTACACCATTACGTCGTGATCGAGTTGTCGAGGAGCCAACCTCCCTTTTCACTCACGGACAGTCTGATGATTCAAGGCCTGACCAAATTCTAAAGCTGTTCAATCCCCTCAACCTGTTAGTGAGAGAGGTTAGATGGCAAACGGCGTCTTTGGTACCTACTAAACACCTTGAATGTGTTACCAGCAAGCACCGCCAGTAACTATGCCGAAGCCCATCGAGAGTCGAACATGGCGTCTACTGCGCAAAGTGTCTATAGAGACGATCACGAAGAATTTATATAGCATAACAGTTCAATTGCGAGTCGGAATCAAGCTATGTGACAGATTCTGGTAAATTTGAACATCTCCTGTTCTGCAAAGGTGGGAGCAACAGGTTATTTTTCAGGCTCAATCTTTTCTTCTCAGTGCTCTTTCATCAATATAATCGATCCCGTTAGAGCAAAATCAACATGATGGGTGAGGCATAAGTCAAAGTGAGGAGTACGAGTAGAGACAGTTCAACGACGGTGTATTGTGCACAGAGTGAAAACTTTTCACATTTAAATACGTACATGGTTGTTCCCACGTTGTTTGTCCCACAGCTGTAGAGAAATCACGTGAAGGAATACTTACGTGGACTATGTCCTTTAGCAACAGAAACACAAAAAAACCGTCCATTTTGCTTGCGTTATCTCTGATAACGTCATCAATACTTCCGCGCGAGCAGTACTTCCACAAAGATAGCATTTGTGGACCATCCAAGCATAAACCTATGAAGCGATTCATGTTTTCGTGGTCAAACTCTCGAAGCTGAAATCATGGCAGATAGACAGTTAGAACAAATATTTCATTTTCTGAGTAATATAAAAGTCTCTTTGGAGCGTTCACAAGGCTCACCATGCGCCAGTGTTGTTTATCTTTTGATTCAAGTCGAAGACGTAATTCGTGCTTGTGTGCGGCAACTGTTTCACCCTAAAATGAGGAAGACCTGAGCATGAATCGCATTGACCATTTGCCCTTATATCTATCACTAGTCGGACCGCCCGGATAAGCCAGGCTTCCCTGCTTTTTTGACAAAAAGGGGACGATTGGCTAACCCGCCACTCCTTCTGTAAAATAAATGACACTTTTTTCAAACACGAAATTCGACACAAGACTAACAGGGCAGTGCATAAGGTATTCAGTAGGTACCGATGCTTCCTCTTAGGATTAGAGATCTCGATTTGTTGCTTTCCATCTTAAAAATATTTGTCTATCAGAGATTCGACTGATAGGCAAGCCAAGCCATGAATGGTACTCAAAAATGTTGCCATTGTCATTATCAGTAAACTTTTTCGCCCAGATTATTGGCGGTTAGATAAAGTTTGTCACAAATGATACCGAAACAAAAAAACCCATGACACTTCCTTGAGTCGCAAACCCTGCTGGGTAGCTGTCGTAGTCCAATAGCAAGAAAACCATGTTCTTATATCTTCATGAAGGAAGGTCTTTGATTGGTCCCTCTCACTGCAGTTAATCGTTTTATTG